TACAAAGAATGTATTTTTCCATGTTTTTTGAGATGTATAAAAAATTTTGTTGTCTGGCACATGATCCTGCCCTACCAATATTGTATTTATAAATTTTGTTACACAAAATTTTAATTGAAGGGGGGACGTGTCACAGACTGTATAATTATGTATCCTTATTATATTGTGTTTTGCATGAATGAAGAGTACCTGGCTAGCGGAAGGACTGTCTGAGCGATCGTCATGTGTTGTTTCATGCTTTTGGGTGAGATCGCTCATGTACGTAAGGGGAGAGAAAGTGGTGAATAAAAGGGAGAGCAAAAAGGTGAACGGGTGTTGTGTGCTAGAACTTGAACCTGAGGACTGTGGCTGTGAATGTAGGATGTTACTACGACACTTTGTTTCTTGACTGTGATTGTACTTATACCAGTTGTGACCATGGATTTACTATGGATCTATTAATTCTCTGTACAAAGTGTAAATAAAGTTATTGTTTCACAACTACTGTTGCTCGTATGAGTATATTGAAGAACCCACAATAACAACAAAGAATTCATGTTGTTACAACAATCGTTGAAATGTGTCAGAATTAAGCTACAGGAAGAATAATAAGTTACAAACGTAATGATAGACAGACGTATAGACACTGCGGACTAAAAAGCTTTTAAAATCTCCAGACACTTACGGCGAACAGCTTAAAGGAGTTCCGGCAGACGTCGTTGGTGTCGCTATCGTACTTCACCCAAACTCACGGCCCTTAAGATCCGCAACAAATAACAAGGAAGCTGGCTTTAACGCTATGACGTATTTAAGAACTTGACATTCTTAGACAATAGTTTTGTTATTTTACCGGACCGCTGTTTTAAAAAAGTCTAAATGTCATGTTTATGAAATCTACTAAAATGTGAATTTTATACACCACCCCTTCCGCTTTCTCATCATCTCAGAAAGGAGAACGAATATATATATATATATATATATGTATATATATATATATATATATATATATATATATATATATATATATATATATATATATATATATATATACACATATATATATATATATGTATATATATATATATATATATATATATATATATATATATATATATATATATATATATATATGTGTGTGTGTGTGTGCGTGTGTGTGTGTACGTGCGCAGTATTAGAGCAAATCATAAGGCCACATAGGATTCATATTTCCAATTTCTATTTCCTTCATCGCTCGCGTACACCAGAGGTACCAATCAAATAAACATGGGCTCCAAGATTATATCACCCGCAGTCCAAAGTTCTGTTAATGACAAGTTCTGAACCCAACCTTCGTACACGTTTATTTGTAAATTTAGTGCAGAAAGCATTAATTCATTTGAAAGTAAAAAACAACATGTTACATTTCAGAGAAATGTAGGCATAACAGGATATCACGAAGTAGCAAATAACTAATAGCGGAACTAAAAAATCTTTTTTTTTCTACCTACCCTACGACTGGCTAAATGTTTGTAGTAAAAACAGTTTAGTTGAGGGGGGGGGGGGAGGGACGTATAAATTACAAAACACTTTTGTCGAATTAGGCGAAGAGGGAAGTAACTTAAGTGACCGTGTGGGAGAAGTATAATAGTAGTTCCGTCATTTATGTTGTATTTATGTTGTATTCTGTACAGGACAGAATATACATAAAAACAATTTAATTTTTCCAAGAATATGGGTGGGGTAAGGGTGTTTGAATTTTTTACAAGCTTTTATTTAACTCACTTCCTCTGTCGTCAGTCTGTCGTCAGTCTGTCTAGATCGCCTAAATTAACTCACAGTTCTTCTACCAAGTTAGTGTAGGTTAGTTCTGTGTACTTTTACGTAACCACTGTATCGTAGTTTGTGTAAAAGTTTGTGTTCGTATTTAGAATAGTCTGTGTTTGTGTAGAGAGTGTAGATAGGATTAAACTCTTTTACAACAAACCTTTGTTTTATTTAGTCTTGTGTTTTGTAACCCGTCTGTGGTTGTTTGTCTTATATGTTGCGCGATGCACTGGTTAACCCATAGAGGCGTGTCCGTGAGTTCACAACAGTGTAACAGAATTTATAGACAACCCTTGACATGTTAGAAGTTTGGACATGGTGTCACCAACAATAACTTATTCCCCCACTTAGTCTAATTTCACTGTTGGGACACCTTGGGCGCCGACCCGACGGGTTAGAAAAAAAAAGCCAATTAGGAAACAGACTTGGCTTTACGGACTTATTTAACTATTTTATTTATCTATTGTTAGACATTTACATTTAAATAGGGGGGGGGGGGGGGTTGATAATTCACGCTGGGCGCTGGAATGGGTCACTACGCCTCTGCACTCGTGTCCTTAAGATTTTCTTCCTCCATTCCACTTTGTCTTACGCCGCTTTAAGTGCCCCCCCCCCATACACACACACACATCTACTGATGTCGTTTTCTCATTTCTTCTTCTACCTCTTTACAAGTTATTTACTAAGTTCATAATGTCCGTGAGTTTGTGGCAAATCTTGTAACTCAATTTATGTCTCAAATATAATTGCAGCAATTTCGTTCACATTTCCCATATACCTTCTTCTCCGATGACAATGTAGTATACTACATTAGGTTGGATAAGGGGAGATAACAAGATTAAATAGATCCACTTGCGATCGCTCGATCAGAGGGTCGCTGAGGATGAACTGTTTGTCACACATTTTTACTTTCTCGTATATACAAAGTATAGAGAAAGTCTTGTAATCGTGCAAAAAAAAAAAAAATCGAGATTTTCGCCGAGTCGGAAAAACATAGTTTTGCAATCTTGTCCGTATGTGTGTGTGTGTATGTGTGTGTGTGTAAACACGATGACTTGAGTACCGTTACAGCTAGGTTGAAGAAATTTTGATACATAAAAATAATATCAAAATCGTAGATCCGTATCAATTTTCGAGCGATTTTCGGTAACCGGAAGTGGAACTTTTTCTACTTTGAATTTTTGAAAAGCCTATAACTTGAGTACTATTTCAGATAGATAAATGAAATTTCACATGTAAGTAAAAGATCAAATTTTCTGCATTCTGTCAAATTTTGAGTAATTTCCGTTGACCGTAAGTAGTAATTTTCACTATTTCCGATTTCTCAAAAAACGCATGTGAATTTATAAAGTACTAATAATATTCCGCAATATTGTACACATCTTTATTCGGCGTTCGCTTGGTACGCAATTCTTTTTTCTATGAGATTCTATTCTATTTTAAAAAGTTTAAGGATTTAAAATGGATTAAAAATCATGCCTATATCCCGAGTTGCCATTCCCTGTTGTTTTATATAAGAATATTCAAGAAAGTTAGTGGAGATCACTCCCGGTTTATTTATGTAGTTACAATAATCAATTGAAAACAATACAATTGATTGCAGATACAACAGTCAAATTTTTAATAAGCTACACAGTTATATGAACAAAGCATTTATATTTATATAAATTTATATAAATATTTGAATATATAAGCAACGCAGTTATTTGAACAATACAATGTCGCTGGTTTTTTGAAGACCAAACTTAGACAGGATTTTGCTGTGTATGACATCTCAATACCTTTATGACATCAAGAATAGTGCAGTAAAAATAGTCAAATTTTGAATGTAATTAAATAGTCAAATTTTAAAGATAGTTACAATAATCATATTTTAAATGTAGTTACAATAGACACATTTTTTAGGTAGTAACAACAATCATATTTTGAATGTAGTTACAATAGACACATTTTTAAAGTAAAAACAATAATTAGATTTTGAATGCAGACACTACAGTCAAATTTTTAATAAGCTACACAGTTATATGAAAAAAAAGCATTTATTACATCAAGAATAGTGCAATAACTCAATTCAAATTTTGAATTTTCTTACAATAGTCAGATTTTGAATGCAGTTACATGAGTCAAATTGCATATATATTAACAACACTGTTATACGAACAAAGCAATTATAACATCAAGAATAGCGCAATAACTAAAGTCAAGTTTTGAATGTAAACGTGCTAATGTAAACTAATACAATTTGTAGAAGGGAGAGCATTACAGGTCAATAAGAAACTAAACATGTGTCATTAATAAACTGTTGGTGACAAGTTAACACAGTTAAAATGATCTTTAAGGTAAATTTGCATTCATCAAATATGTAATCAAATTGAGTTTTTCTAGCTTGAATTTACATAAACTGGTTGTCTAACTGTCTATTTAAAAAATCAACATAAAATCAGTTTTCTGTAGTTGTTAGATTATCGTTCTTACCGTAGTTGCCCGAAATGCTACTGTGGCTAAGTCCCATCTTGACTGAAGGGTAACTACTACAGTCAACATTTTTATGTTGATTTGCCGTAAACACTGCCGACCATTTGTTATTTACTTTAAGTTTTAACGATTCCAGGTCTAAATGATGACTCCCCTCCAAAAAAAGTATTTTTTTTAAAATCTGAGTGATTGCTCAAAGTTGATTAACTACTTTTTCAGCGGCAAAAAAAAAACCTGTTTTATTAAACAAGGGGCAGGATTTGTTATGGCTAGGAATGATCTTCATTCATTAAAACCCAATTTCAATTGAATGCGTTTTACAATTTTTTTACTACCCTTTTCTTTCTTAACACCCCCTCGTAATATAAGTTATATGTTTTTTCATCATTAATAATTAGTAAGAAGAACATGATAAATTTTAAAATACCAACATTGTTACAGGAAGAGCATATATTCCTAATCTAATAATCTACCAGGTCAGAAGGTTTTCTCTCACGAACCCGAAAATCTCCAGTACCTGAGTGCACCCAGCTCTAATGGGTACCTTACCATCGTTAGGGAAAGTAAAGGGGGCTGAACTAAATGCTAACTCTACTTCATTTGTCCAATTAAATGCCTGGTCTAAAGCGGCAACTTTTCATTTTGTATTGAACCAAATTTAACCTACGTACCAATTCGTCCCCCCCCCCTCCTCCTACTTGATGCAAGTGAGCAACATAAATACCCATGGTACGTGACGTCAATTATAGACGAACACCTAAAACAATTTTAAGAATCTAAAAACAACAACATGTAAAACTTATTATTAACACGCTTGCAATAGATATACAACAACTGTCTTTAAAAAAAAATAGACAAAGCGCTGTAGCAAGTAAACTGAGAATTTACACATTTATAATAGTTAATGTGCACACAAAAATTATTCTTTACATTGGGCATTGCATTTTTGTCATCATTCTCGGCGAACTTTCATCTCAACATAGTCTAAAGATTCGTGCGGTCCCGTTATGTCGTGCCAGTAGATTCCAGTATACTCACCTTGACTTCTCCATAAACCATTAACATTGACCCACTGGCAATCGTTATACCACCAGCCTGACTTCCGCTTATTGGCACAATCGTTGTAGGAGTTATCGTTGTCTCTATCTATGGTGGAGAACCACTGGTTCTCGTGTTGGTAAAAATGATCCGGTGCAGTTCCTCTGTAGCCCGAGAAGTTAACCTTGTATTTGTAGTCCTCGCTTTTGACGTAAAAGTTTCTATATTCGGCAAAGTAGCTTGTACCCCTAAACTTTAAGTCAAATCGTAGCACTCTGTAGCCCTGTAGGAAGAACAATGAACAGTTATGGGATCTTTTAAAAATTATATAACATAAAATAGGACTTTTTTTTACTCTATACAATGTTATCAACATTTCTAAAAATCATTATTTATAATACTAAATGCCTACTCGCCCCCTACAAACCATGCCATAATTTTAAACTACTAAATGTTACAGATATTTTCAATAAATTAAGACAGATTATTTTAAAGTAAATAACAAGTTACATCAGCATTTTAAAAAACTACTGATTTTCATAATAGAGTATGTAAAATCTTCAGTTTAATTTAGTTATCTAAAAAACTATAAAAAAAAAACTTCATAATAATAAACTTGAAAATACAACAAACTTGCTTTTTTTTTTAAATATTGGTCGCTAAAATGTGTAGGGGTATGTCGTTATAATTATATTTTGTTATCATCCTTATTTATTTTTTAATTTACTCAAGTTTTAGTTTAATTTTTTTAAATTAATTTCTATTTAATACTTCGTATAAAGAATTTATAATCGCGCGAAATAAATCAAATGAGATTTCGACAGTCTTTACTGTTTTACATTTCACTACTTAATCAACAACAACACTTAATCTACAGACTCAGAACAGGCCACTACAGACTAAAACATCACAGGCATAAAAAACCTAAAAATTGGGTCTGGCGAAACTTGCCAATGTGGCATTGCCCCGGAGAATACAGAGCACGTCCATCAGGACATTCCTTATATAGCCAGGCGCGATCCAAACACTGACCCCTACACACCCCACTCAAGGAAAAACTGTATGGGGCACTCGCGGATCTGGAGACCACAGTCCAGTTCATACACGAAGTTGGACTTGTTGTTTAAATCCTCTACCATAAACGAAAATCCGAACGCAAAAGAAGAACTACTTAATTGTATACGGCTCATTGATGACGTATTGTAATCGTGCAATAAATCTAAATCGAGATTTATCAAAATCTCGATGTTTTATACTTAGCCGAGTAGGAAAAATTTTGTGTGTCCCCTTGTGTCTATAAACAGACACGATAATTTGAGCACCATTTCAGTAATTTTGATGTCTTTCATTTAATAAAAATACTCTAATAAATGTGTGGTTTTTATTCAATTCTAATCTTTTCCGTTAACCGAAAACGGTACTTAATGTGCTTTCAGTCTCTTAAAGCTTATAAATTTACGTACAACATTTACAAAATTGAACAATAAGAATCTTTAATGTAGAAATTATTAAAGTATATATGTGTGTGTAAATATATATATATATATATATATATATATATATATATATATATATATATATAAATTTTAAAAAGAGTTTTCATATATATATATATATATATATATATATATATATATATATATATATATATATATATATATATGTATATATATATATATATATATATATATATATATACTAGTATTACCTGGACGGTTAACAGATGTATGATGTTGTTACCAACCCAAAAGTCACCAGAAAAGTCACCGAAGCCATTTTTATATTCGTCCCACGATCTCAGAAAATCTACTTTGCCATTCATTCTTCTCTAAATAAAAAGAAGAAAATAGATTTCTAAAATTAATATTTCATTTATTCACACATTTGTGGCTTAGCTCATTAAAAATTGAAGAAAAACTAAAATCAATTTTTAAACAACTTTTTAACCTACACTATATGATATTCAATTTGAAAGTCTCATATACTTTATCGAATATTATTTTTGATAGTTACAGTAAAATAAAATTTTCTCAGATAATTTTTACTATGTGGGACGAGTTAAAATGGAACATTTTATTATTAACTAGCCGTCCCGGCCAGGCCCTGCACTGGCCTCTGTGAAAAACCTATCTGTAAAGGACCGTTACTTGTGTGTTTAGAAATCAGCATATAGCCGTCATTTCCCGGGTTTAGGAAATATACTACTTTTCGAATTAACCCCAACCACAACCACCCCAAAACAAAACACAAATAAACGCAAAGGTTACACACACGCTAACACAAACCCAACCACAAACGCAAACACAAAGAAAATGCAAACACAATCGCGAACAAAAAAAGCAAACAAAAAAAACAAACTCAAATCCAAACACAAACACAAATTACATGCTTGATGGATGTGGCTGGATTTTTAAGTTTGAAATAATGTTTGTAAAGTACTTTCTAATCCTCATGCTCCAAAGAAAGACAAATGGAAGAAGTAGATGAATAAGAAGATAATGTTTGTCAAGTACTTTCACACATCAACCAGATTTTTGTTTTAAGATTGACAAATTGACAGGAATAGACCCAGAGTTAGAAAAATAGACTTTTACTGTAGTCAAATTGTCTTAATTATCTTCTTTCTTCTTCTTCATTCTTAATTTTTAGTGTTGGAAGGGATCGAGCCTTATCTGCCAGAGGGTTTGAACTCGAGACTTTTTGGAATTTATCAACAATGAGCTTTTTGCCGACTCGACCACGCCTCCATCACAATTAAATATACCTGTCAACTGGTTATGCGTCATTTTGGCCATTGACTCAGATTTCAGCCTGCTTTTCTTTTTGGATTTGCTTTCATAGCCTTTGTTCAACCAAGAACAAACTACAAGGCATCAGTTGTTTGATTTTGGAGTTGTCTTTCCTAGAAGAGTTGCTGTCCCCAGCTAACGAGCCTCATCTGCCCGAGGGTTCGAACTCGAGACTTTTCGTTTCAGCAACCATGAGCTTTACCGAGTCGACCATGCCGCCCCCTTGACTTTTACTGTAGTCAAATTGTCTTAAATATGAAATATAACTTATCTAATCTTGATGTTACCTGTATCACAATCTACCCCCCACCGTCAGTCTCGGTGTCACACAAAACTTTATGTCCATTGTCCAGCCTGACGACTGTACGCCCCGGCACTTGGCTGTTTCTGTTCCCTTTACGACATTCATACTGTTGGAGAATGATTCGAAGCTTAAAGACAAACTTAATCTAGTATCTATTGTTTCATATACATCCATCAATACACATTCACCACGTAACTAACCATCCATCCACACATCTACACATCAATCCAGCCATCCTTCCTTCCAGTTGTCTGGTTGTCCCTCCAACTATCCGCCCAACAATCCGTAAACTATCTGCCCAACCATCCGTCAAAAATCCTTCCAATCACCCGTCCAAGCATAAATCCAAACGCCTTTACGTCCCAAAATGTATGATTTATATATATAGGGCATATATATATATATATATATATATATATATATATATATATATATATATATATATATATATATATATATACATATATATATATATATATATATATATATATATATATATATATATATATATATATATATATATATATTCCATTGAGTACTTACAGTTTCCAGAGCGCGTGCAGAATCTTCCTTGTTATTAGCCGCTTTTAATTCACTAATCTCCCTCTCCATGACTCTCAACTGCCCAGATACTTTATTGGTGTTCTCTTGGTTTGCTTTTAAATTCCTTTCAACGGATGCAATTTTTGTGTCAACGTTGTTACTCATTATTCGATCTTTAAGCCCCTGCATTGATCGGTTCAATACTTCTAGACTTTGATCAACTTTAGAAATGCTGTTTTTATTAAGATAAATATTATCTTTTAGCCCCTGCATTGTACGGTTAACTACTTCTAGACTGTGATCAACTTTAGAAATGTTGTTTTTATTAAGAGAAATATTATCTTTTAGCACCTGCATTGAACGGCTAACTACTTCTAGACTTTGATCAACTTTAGAAATGCTGTTTTTATTAAGATAAATATTATCTTTTAGCCCCTGCATTGAACGGTTAACTACTTCTAGACTTTGATCAACTTTAGAAATGTTGTTTTTATTAAGAGAAATATTATCTTTTAGCCCCTGCATTGTACGGTTTATTACTTCTAGACTGTGATCAACTTTAGAAATGCTGTTTTTATTAAGATAAATATTATCTTTTAGCCCCTGCATTGAACGGTTAACTACTTCTAGACTTTGATCAACTTTAGAAATGCTGTTTTTATTAAGATAAATATTATCTTTTAGCCCCTGCATTGTACGGTTTATTACTTCTAGACTTTGATCAACTTTAGAAATGCTGTTTTTATTAAGAGAAATATTATCTTTTAGCCCCTGCATTGTACGGTTAACTACTTCTAGACTGTGATCAACTTTAGAAATGTTGTTTTTATTAAGAGAAATATTATCTTTTAGCACCTGCATTGAACGGCTAACTACTTCTAGACTTTGATCAACTTTAGAAATGCTGTTTTTATTAAGATAAATATTATCTTTTAGCCCCTGCATTGTACGGTTAACTACTTCTAGACTTTGATCAACTTTAGAAATGCTGTTTTTATTAAGATAAATATTATCTTTTAGCCCATGCATTGTCCGGTTAACTACTTCTAGACTGTGATCAACTTTAGAAATGCTGTTTTTATTAAGATAAATATTATCTTTTAGCCCCTGCATTGAACGGTTAACTACTTCTAGACTTTGATCAACTTTAGAAATGTTGTTTTTATTAAGAGAAATATTATCTTTTAGCCCCTGCATTGTACGGTTTATTACTTCTAGACTGTGATCAACTTTAGAAATGCTGTTTTTATTAAGATAAATATTATCTTTTAGCCCCTGCATTGAACGGTTAACTACTTCTAGACTTTGATCAACTTTAGAAATGCTGTTTTTATTAAGATAAATATTATCTTTTAGCCCCTGCATTGTACGGTTTATTACTTCTAGACTGTGATCAACTTTAGAAATGCTGTTTTTATTAAGATAAATATTATCTTTTAGCCCCTGCATTGAACGGTTAACTACTTCTAGACTTTGATCAACTTTAGAAATGTTGTTTTTATTAAGAGAAATATTATCTTTTAGCCCCTGCATTGTACGGTTTATTACTTCTAGACTGTGATCAACTTTAGAAATGCTGTTTTTATTAAGATAAATATTATCTTTTAGCCCCTGCATTGAACGGTTAACTACTTCTAGACTTTGATCAACTTTAGAAATGCTGTTTTTATTAAGATAAATATTATCTTTTAGCCCCTGCATTGTACGGTTTATTACTTCTAGACTTTGATCAACTTTAGAAATGCTGTTTTTATTAAGAGAAATATTATCTTTTAGCCCCTGCATTGAACGGTTTATTACTTCTAGACTGTGATCAACTTTAGAAATGTTGTTTTTATTAAAAGAAATGCGATCATTAAGCACCTGCATTGAACGGTTAATTACTTCTAAACTTTGATCAACTTTAGAAATGTTGTTTTTATTAAAAGAAATGCTATCTTCTAGCTTCTGCATTGAATGGTGAATTGCTTCTAAACTTTGATCAACTGTAAAGATATTATTTTTATTAAGAGAAATGCTATTGTTTAATGCAGTGTAAACTTTTCTTATTCCCGTAGAGCAATTCAGTAACGCCTTTGTCTCAACGTCGTTTATCAGTTCCGTGATTTTCTCCTTTGTATCTAAAAACTCAGATTTAAATTTCGCAAAATCTTCTTTCTGAAATGTGAGTCTTGTTTCTATATCTTCCAATTTTTCATGAAGCTCTTCAGTCAAATTTTGTAGCTTTTCTTCTACGAGACTTGATAGTTTTAAAAATAGCGGTGTTTTTGTGACGTCTACTGATGGTAAATTTCGTTTCTCATTGGAGAAATAGTTGGCCATTAGATTTAAATCCATATCACAACCAACCTTATCATCTGCTTTCTCGCATTCATCTTGCCCGTAGGATTTCCACATAAACGATTCTATTGCTTTAACAATGTCTGGGGTTTTTGACTTGACATAAATCATCATCAGTGAATTCTCAAGCTCCTTGACATCCTGTGTTCTGGTTTCTTCCATCTTCGTTATTTGACCAAGATGATTGAGATAAAAAACATCACATATAATCTTCGGGGATCGACAAATATTGTCTTCGTACAACGAAACAGTAATACTCCCATGAGTTTTTGATATCTCCTTCTCCACGCGAGCTCCTGAAGATTTGACTGTTTTCAATTTGGAACCAGACATTGAAAGAAACGCCAACGTGTTCTTCTCAAGGTGTTCGTTCATAGAGTAGACTGACATGTTGACCAGAGATTTGATATCGGCGTTTTTCGCTGAGTCCACAACACAATTCAGCTTGCCACAGTACAGTTTCTTGCCCTCCAAATAGTCGGTAATTTCAACGTCAAAATGAAGCCCTACAACATAAAAAATAAGTAGAGATACCCATTTGGAAATCGCAATCAATAGCACAGACGAAATAGAATTCTACTTTTTATGAGTACCTCAGTAGTGATCAATTACATTGCAAGTCACCTTTCCCTAAAGTGATTCGGGTACCCATTGGAGCTGAGTAGGCTCAATGATACCTGGCAACAGGACCCGGGACTTTCAAGTTATAATTAGAAGTCGCTTGTTAAATAAACAATTATGTACTGAATGACTACAAAGTACATTTATAACTTTTTTTTTTATTTTACTTTCTCGTATACAGAGTATAGAGGAAGTATTGTAAACGTACACAAAAATCACATGAAA